CAACATCTCACGTGTGCTGATGAACTTCACCAACACTCTCAACAAGCTCAACAGCCAATGCAGATAACCATAAGAGTAACAATAATGATAACTGCAACAATACCTACAACAATAACTATAACAATACCTAGGCCTATATCAGTAACTATAAAGTTAGCAATACCTAAAACAGTGTAGTATTTACTTCCATGTGGTCTACTTTTCAGCACAATAGTTGCCACAAAAACTTCAACATTACAGAAACTTCTTCAAATGTCAAACATAACAGCGTTAAACACTAACAGGTCTTTACCTTCACTAAAAAACACATCAAATAACACTTTATTTCAACATTCATTCTCCTTAATCAGTCCTGTGCAAAGCATGCTGGGAACTAGAAACTACCCACAACCCAACTAATTAAAGAAATCTAATTAATGCAGAGATTTGAGTTTGCATTACACACAAGTTACATTATGTTACTGTAATGATCAACATTGATTATATCAACTGAACTCAACAAAATAATGTTTGCAACTTCAAAGGTTTAATTAAATTATTAAATTAGAATGTTTAACTTGCAACCATGTGATTATTTAAGTTGTGGTAACAGGCACCCTGAATCATTTTTGCATCCACATCAATGGACAATAATTATAAAGACAACTTTATAAAGACAATAACTATAGCATCCATGCTAAGTATGTGCTGCAAGTTAAATAAAAGTAAGTTTTGTCATCCGCTGCTTTAAATCCAATTCGGGTGGATTCTGACGGGCTGTCAAAGTTTTTATTGTCCATCAATCTCTGTGTCATTATCGTTATAGTTATGGAGTAAACCTATATGAGTAAACTATATGGTTTTTGGGGTAAGGCCTGTTCAAAGCAATGAATATAATGATAAAGTAATAGTGATTGGTTTGAACAGGCTTTACCCGAAAAATACTGAATACCAGAAAATTGTGGACTTTATAACCTGTCTGCCCAAAAGTAATAACCACCAATCATTTCACAGATTGAACTCAGAAAACAATACAGTTGTGTTGATCTATTTTACTCGCTATTTAGCATCTCAAGCAAAACTCAGAATATCTTTCCAAGATTTTATGGGTCTAACCTGACAAACTTTGTCAAACCCAGTGACTATGAGAACTCCAGGCACACTGAACTTGTATCTGGTTTACTGTGAGCTTCTTTGGATGAAAGCAGCTGGTAAACGTGTGGCAGGACTCGCTGTCAATCACTCCTGAAATGTCAGCGGCTGTGAAGTTATCCCTTCACTAACTCTCCCGCTGGGCAGAAGGTCACCGCATGCCCTCGACCGGCTAAAACAACGACCACCCACATGCAGTAATTAATTCCCCCCGCCAGAACAGAGCGGCTTCACTTTCACAGATCAGATCTCAGGAGCGTCTGGATGCAAAGGTATGTGAGGTCAAGCCAGGCCGACTCAACTCAACTCTGTAGGGCTGAAAGACACATGCACCAACCCTAAAACACTTCATATGTCCTGTTGGGTCATGAAGAACAGGCTGATAGAGACACCTGTTTCAAACTGAGATCCACTGAGATACATGTGAGATATCATATGAAAGGGAACAGTGGCTCCTTAGCAACGTTTACTAGATGATTATCATGCCAATGCAACAATGCCAGTCTATTATGTTCTCAAACGCTCCGCAAATCATCTTAAATGAGTCATTGTAAATCACTGGAAATGGAGCGACTAATTACAAATCTGAATTGAAATGAATTTATTAAATTATTTGAGAGTTGTTAGTTAATAAATTAAAAGTTTTCCTCTTTGTCTGTCATCATTAATGCACTTGACTTATTTAGTGAGAATTAGATGAGCAATAATTCAAAATGATCCAAAAACAGTGATTTTTTTAAGTTAAAATTGATGCACTGAACAAAAATTTAGTGTAGACTTCATTTTCACTCAGAAATTGCTAGTAAATTTCACAAAGAGTTACAAAGAAACAGCAAGTAACATTCAATTAAACATGAAATTTTGATAGTAATAGTATTTTCTTGTAAAACATAATCAAATAATCTGTTTTATTTATAAAAAATAGTTTTATTTAAAATATTTTTTGCAGTGTGTGGAAACAAATAAAACATGTAAAAATCCGACAGTTAAATTGTGGCCGTGAATTAAGAATGAATTCCTGCACTGTAGTAAATCATGGCCACAATGTACTAATTCGTCCTCTGGTTTTAATTAAATCAAAACGAGAGAATGTGCTAGTACAACACGGCCATGATTTAATTAAACAAGGGAACAAATTAAGTTGCAGGAATGAGTTCTTATTTTATGGCATTGATTTAACTAAAACGAGTTTAGTTTTAATTAATAAAACAAGAGAACAAATTCTTCATTTGTGGCAGTGACAAATATATTTTTGTCCACATGTCATGTGCATGACTCTGTAATCAAACACCTTTCTTGACTATGAACTCTAATCAATGTCCATTTTGATCACAAATTATAACAGCCGAAAAACTCTCAAGTCTCAAACTGCAGTAATTTCACATGTAAGTAACTCTGTGTGTGTGTGTGTGTGTGTGTGTGTGCGCTCATCTGTGTGTGTGTGTGTGTGTGTGCGTGTGTGTGTGTGTGTGTGTGTGTGTGTGTTCTTCTTTGTGTGTGTGTG